ACACTCTCCTGGCTCAGCGACTCCCCGACTCTCTCCTGGCTCAGCGACTCCACGACTCTCTCCTGGCTCAGCGACTCCCCGACTCTCTCCTGGCTCAGCGACTCCACGACTCTCTCCTGGCTCAGCGACTCCCCGACTCCTGGCTCAGTGACTCCCCGACTCTCTCCTGGCTCAGCGACTCCCCGACTCTCTCCTGGCTCAGCGACTCCCCGACTCTCTCCTGGCTCAGCGACTCCCCGACTCTCTCCTGGTCGAGCGACTCCCCGACTCTCTCCTGGCTCAGCGACTCCCCGATCTCTCCTGGCTGAGCGACTCCACGACTCTCTCCTTGCTCAGCGACTCCCCGACTCTCTCCTGGTCGAGCGACTCCCCGACTCTCTCCTGGCTCAGCGACTCCCCGACTCTCTCCTGGCTCAGCGACTCCCCGACTCTCTCCTGGTCGAGCGACTCCCCGACTCTCTCCTGGCTCAGCGACTCCCCGACTCTCTCCTGGCTCAGCGACTCCCCGACTCTCTCCTGGTGGAGCTACTCCCCGACTCTCTCCTGGCTCAGCGATGCTGCTGGAGGAGGAGGTGGCAGCTCGTCCGAGTCGTGTCAGATGCCGTTGCCGTGACAGACTTCTCGCAAATGTCTCGCGCAGGGCAACTACGGAGCAGGGCGCTGCTGCGTTTCACGGACAGCCGGCAGTAGTTGTCACAGTCGGAGTCGAGGTTGCTGTGCGTTATCCCACTTGAGTTATTGGCGGGTATTTTTTCTTCAAGTATTTGGTCTATGTCGTCGGCAACCAACGGCTTATCCATGTTTACGTCACTTCACGGGATCTTTAAGATACACTACAAAGCAGACGGCACGTAGCATTTTGAGGGTTAATACAACCTCGGTGTTAACCAGGGCGGCCTGCCGGACCGAACCACGAACTTCTGCCGTGTCACCGCTCGGCTGTCAGGGAGTGCTGATGATTCACGTGACCGATGACTGCTCTCACAGAGATCTGGGGTGACGAATTCACTCACTCACAAATGGAGATCTGTAAATCCAAGTGACTGCCGCTCTTCCACAGAGATTTGGTCATTAAGGTGACGTCCAATCACCTTCATGCAGATCTAAAAAAAAGAAGTGATTGACATTTACTTCCATAGAGATCCGCTCGTCCATAGTGACGTCCATTCGCTTTCATAGAGACCTGTTAACGTGACGTAAATTCACTCTCGATGACGTCTGTTCGTTAACGCGGCCCCATTCACTCTCGTAGAGACCTCTCCCACGTTAACGCGGCCCCCATTCACTCTCGCAGAGACCTCTCCCACGTTAACGCGGCCCCCATTCACTCTCGCAGAGACCTCTCCCACGTTAACGCGGCCCCCATTCACTCTCGCAGAGACCTCTCCCACGTTAACGCGGCCCCCATTCACTCTCGCAGAGACCTCTCCCACGTTAACGCGGCCCCCATTCACTCTCGCAGAGACCTCTCCCACGTTAACGCGGCCCCCATTCACTCTCGTAGAGACCTCTCCCCCGTTAACGCGGCCCCCATTCACTTAAGTAGACCTCTCACAGTCCCAGCCGAAGACCTCCGGCGAATCTGAATAAATCGCAACCCCTTTGTGCGTTGTGCTCGAACACAGACACACGGTGCACAACAACAACAAACAACAACAACAACACCACCACGCTAGCCTCCGCAGGGCTCGCTGTACGCGATCGGCTTGAGTAAGGCGCTGCTCTATTTCATTGTTTGACCGGCAAGTATTTAGGGCGCTCGTCCCACGAGACACGCGGCTGTTTATTTAAAGTGCCACTCGCGTCAAGCGAACGCCGCATGTCTGCTGCTGTATGACCTCACTCGCAGTCACGGCACTCCGAGTGTGACTCGGCGACTGGCCGGACCCGGTGCCCCCATGCGCTCAGAATAACTCCCTCGCACGTCGCAAACCGCGCGCCCACGCAGCCGAGCGGCGGCAGCAGCAGCAGGGGGCTCGTCCCCTACTGCACTCGGTTCGACCCCGGCGGGCCGCCCTGGTTAACGCCGCGGGTTTATTAACCTCAAATTTATTTTAAAAAAAAATGAAAGAACGGGGCCATCTGCATCGCAGCGCATGTTAAAGATCCGCTTGACGTTATTCGATGGCGAGTAGGCGAATCGTGTGATGACGTCACGGTCCAAACCTGCCCGCGAATTGTTCGATTGGGAAACGCACAACAGCATTGCCCCTCCCCACCCCCCAGTGCCGGATTATCCTCGTAGCACAAGTAGCTACACATGTAGTAGTAGCTACACATGTAGTAGTAGCTACACGTGTAGTAGCTACACAAGTAGTAGCTACACATGTAGTAGCTACACGTGTAGTAGCTACACGTGTAGTAGCTACACATGTAGTAGCTACACATGTAGTAGCTACACTAGTAGTAGTAGCTACACTAGTAGTAGTAGCTACACTAGTAGTGGCTACACATGTAGTAGTAGCTACACAAGTAGTAGGTACACATGTAGTAGGTACACATGTAGTAGGTACACAAGTAGCTACACAAGTAGTAGCTACACATGTAGTAGCTACACAAGTAGTAGCTACTACATGTGTAGTAGCTACACATGTAGTAGTAGCTACACATGTAGTAGCTACTACACATGTGTAGTAGCTATTACTACACATGTGTAGTAGCTACTACATGTGTACTACACATGTGTAGTAGCTACATAAGTAGTAGCCACTATACATGTGTAGTAGCTACGGGCCCCGCACTTTTAAGGGCCCCGCGCTAAACGCTTTCAAGTTATCAATTCCGGTTCAGTGATTCTGCACTTGCTCTACTACTATAGTACTATACCGCCTTCAACTTTTATGAACGACTGGGAGTTGAAGGTTCGCGATTTGTCGTATTATCTGGCTTTATAGCAAGTGAAAAAATACAATTACTTTGCAAGTAAAAAAAATGTGCTTCAACATTTATGTGTGTTTTTTATTCAGGGCCCCTTAATAACATTTGCTACAGGCCCCGCACTAGCTTGATCCGGCACTGCCCCCCCCCCCCCCCCCGACTGCGAAACGACCGCGGGCTGCGTCTGTGCGAACGACCGCGCCAACACCAAAACGCACACAACGGCGACTTGCTCTGAATTGTTTGCCTGAGATGACATTTTTGGAGGGTTCAGTGATCGTGCCCGTCGTGCGTGTAAGGGCGTCCTCGGTGCACGTGCGAGGAGCGGTAGCCTCGTGGTTAGCGCACCGCGCTACGAACCCGGTGACCCAAGTTCGATTGGTGTCCACGGTCAACATCAATGTCCCTGGGCCTCCCCCACATCGACTTAGCCTTAAATGCGTACCCAGTGCTGTGTATAAACAACAGCACTGGACAGACGAAGTTAGCTGGCTATGGTGTTGGTCTCTGCATGCGTTATTGTGAATCATTGAGTCTGTGTGTGTGTGAATGTGTGTCTATGAGAGTCATCTCAGTCCGTCGACCCGTGGCACCTGGGTCTGCCCCGTGACCTACCAGCGGGCGTTCGACACTTCACGTGGCCTCAACGGTGCACATAGCCTGGCACAAGCGTCGTGGTGACGTTACCGCCACTTAGTGACGAATGGCGGTTGTTGTTGTTGTGCCTGTGAGTGTCTATGGCTCTATGCGTATGTGTGCGTGGCGCAATGCATAGTCCTTAGCAATCCAGGTCACCTGAGTTCAATTCCCAACCAAAGGCAACAAATTATATTTGAACCTGCTCAGCCTAAGCTAGACACCCGGGGCTCTGTGTCTAACTTTAGGACTGGGAGCAAACAACGAAGTTGACAAGATGGGGTCCTGGTCACACCGCCACCATTAATAGGCGCTCGCTAACAGCACTCGCCCCATGCAGTCTCCGAGGCCACACCGAGGTGGGGACCTGCGCGCTCAACGCATTCTGCGCGCAGCGAAATTTCAGTCAACTCGCACAACAACGAGGTGGGTGGGGGAGGGGGAATATCACATCGCAAAAAAAAAACAAACCACGTGAAAGCATCATCCTCACCCTTACCATGGCAGCCACGGCAAAAGCACCACACACACACACCAGCGCGCGCGTCACAGCCCCGGCACGTGTCATCCGCGCCGCCACTCCGTGGGCCACTTCTGGAGAAGCGAACCTCGCCAGACGCGGTCCGCTCGGCCCCAGGGAGTGGCGTCTACTCCGCGTTCGCTCCCAGGGCCCGCGGCTTCCGAGCCCGCACCGCCCTCCACCACCCAACCCACGTCAGCCTGGGTTCGCACCCCCGTCTGAGTCACTGCGATTAAAAACCGAGATTCTCGAGTCTAGCGATGTTGATGGTCTCGGCTCTGGCAGCTGTTTGCTGCACAGAAAACCACCACCACCACCACCACGACCTCGTTTTGTTAATCAATTTGGTTGACGTTCGAGCTCTGAAAATTAACGATACCCAATTTTTGTCACGTTAACAAATTCGAAAATTTTAAAAAAATAAACTACCACGTGGGGGTTGCGACGCAAGATGGGTGATCGTCGTCTCGTTCAATCGACTCTCACGCTGGGCTCGTGGCGCGCGGCGCGAGCCTCGGGAGCCGACTCAAGGACGCGAGGCTCACGAGGCGCCGCCCTCCTCGGCTCACGAGGCGATTGTCCGCGCCGCGTGGACTCGCGCAAAGGAACCGCAAGGCAGCATCACCCAGCACGCGCCCAATCCCAGCTAGACGTGGGGAACGAAGTTGAACAGGGGGTAGGAGGAGGATTTCGCGACCGATATCATCCATAATAGAGGTTTTGTTGGGTTAGATCGTGTAAATGTATAAATGTGTCGTTTAAACCCGCCACCACCCGACACAGCCAACTAGTAAGGGTCGTCACGTAAACAGAACGTGGCCAATTCGTCACTAGTACAGCACTAACCGGTGTGTTGGAGAGCCAAGCCACAACATTTACAAACTGAGCACGACGTTTCGCCAGTAATTACAACCAGCTCCATCAGGCGACAGCCACATTTGTGGAGTAGTCCACCTGTTTCGTTCCTTATATGAGGCGTAGATGTGGTGACCACGCTTCTGCGCTCTTGCACAAAGTGGGGGAGGAGGGGGGGGGTTAATGAGACTAAGCGGGGCTAAGCTTTGTATAGGGCTTGGCAAGGCGACCACCGAGAATAACAGGTGTGATAGGCATTGTGGCTCGGAGAGGGCGGTGCAGAAAATTCCATCGTCGTTCCGTACCCCCCTCCCCCCACGTCCCTCGCGGGGGCAGAATCGCGGCGGTGGCTGCGTGGCTCCAGCTGTGGGATTTGGGGAAGGGGAGAGGCAGTGGAGAGCGAGTCGGCAGCGAGGAGGTGCAGCGGCGGCGGTGGTGGTGGCATCAGCGGCTATGGCCACGATGACGCCTCCATGTCGATGTTGGCCACAGGTCACGGGACACGCCACCGTGTTAAAGGGGGGGGGGGGGGGGCAATGGTGGGGAACCTTTCCTGAGCGAGGGCCCAGTCGGGCCTTCCACGTGCAGTGGCCGTGGCGAGCGAGCGACTCGTTGAAGCTGCGCGCGGCTCGGTCGGTCCTCGCCACTCCGAGAGGCCCTCGCAGTGACGGCAGCGAAACTCGTGGCGAGTCACGCGCGCTCGTTGCCAGGTCGCAAATGTCCCCGTCTAGTGCCCGATCAGTGCGGCTTGCGGTGACCAATGAATGTTGTTTAGGAGTGGTAGGCCTCACGAAATGAAGTAGCGGTCCGCGTCCGGCCCATGGGCCGTGGGTCGCCCCCCCCCCCCTAGGCGAGGGAGAGCGACGCGAATCCCATCCGGACCTTCGCCACGGCGTTTCGCGTCTGCGTCGTTGAGGCCGTGTTGCCCTGCCGCCAGCAGCAGGGTGGCTCCCGGCCGGGGTCAGAGGGCGCCGGCTCCCCTGCACGCGACAGAGGGCACGGGGCGGACACGCGACTCGGGGTGAGCCGCGCCGCGCGGGGGAGACACGGGGCAAGCAGCAGTGGCTAGACGACACCGATGGCTCGGAGCGATCGACGCGCCACGAGCGAGTTGCGTCTCGTCTCGACGCAAATGCAAGGGCACCTCCCGCGCCAGACGATCACTGCGCGGCACAAGGTGACTCAGCACCTTCGCCTGTGGGGGCGAGCATCAGTCTGCCCGCGAAGGACCCCGGTTTGAAACAACGACGACGGCGCCTTTCTCCGTGATCGCCTTGCGCTGTGAGCACGGCGCGGATACCAACACCCACGACACAGTCAGCACACGGCAGTGATGTATCTGCACGGTGCCTTAGTCTCGCTCTATGAGCAGCATCCTTCCGGCAAAAGAGAATCTTGAGACTCGGCGAGGCATTCCGGGGTAAGACCCTACGTGGCTACTCCTCGCAGTGGTCCCATTCCTACGAAAACCTATCTGGATCAACTCGCGTCCCCCCAAGACCTCAAACGTCTCTCCCATGCCGCCTGTAATGGTTTAGGGAGAGCGGCGGGAGGGGGGGGGGCAAAGGTTGACATCCCCGTGTCAATCCACTGCTGGATGAAGGCTTCCGCACGCCACGGAGGCGCCTTGACCATACTTCACCGCCTTGACCATACTTCACCGCCTTGACCATACTTCACCGCCTTGACCATACTTCACCGCCTTGACCATACTTCACCGCCTTGACCATACTTCACCGCGCTAATCTGTGCGGATTGACTGAAGGGGGGGGGGGGGAGCCGCCCAGGACCGATTCAAATATTTTATTTACCCAGGAAAAATTCGCTGAATCTGAAGACTTTTTCAGTGATGTCCTGTTGTTACATTCAGATGTTTGGCCAATGCCAGTGACGGTACATTGCATGTTTTTTTGGCTACTGGAGGAAACTAGAGGACTCCGTTTTTTTTTATCAGGTAAAGGCCCACTGAGCTATGATAACTCAAATAAGTTGCTTATCACGTGAAAACGTATAGTAGCCAATACTCTAAAGGCATGTTTTTTTAAATGTGCAAGGGGAAACCAGAGGACCCAGCGAAAAATCCACGCGAACACGATGAGAGCACGCAAACTCCAAATATACAGCAGGTGTCAGGGTCGGGATAGAACCGAGGACCTCCTGCGTACCAGGAGAGGTAGTTAACATCTCCTAGCCACCGTGGCGCCCGTAACCCGGGGGGAAGCCAATGCAGAACAGGGAGGGAGGCAACGCACAAACTCCACACAGACACGCGCAGCAGCAGCAGCAGCAGCAACAACAACAGCAGCTGCCGTTCGCCACTCAGGCGAGGTGCACCCACACACACGCACTCAACACTTTCACTCGCACGCATTCTGCAGAACAGGGGGAGAAAAGACACAAAGATCCCGCGATCGCACGCACTTACACTCTCACGGACTCACTCGCGTTCTGCGGAATAGGAGACCTTGCAAACCGCACGCAGAGAGGCGCCCGAATCGGGGAACGAGCGTGGGCGCTTGCTGCTGCTGCTGCTGCTGCGAGGCGTGAATGTTACCACTGCACCACCTTGCCCGCCACTGACGTTCGCCTTGGCTGGGAATCTAAACGAAACCTCCACGGGGTTCGCAGCGCAATGCGCTAAGCGCTGCGCCACCGCTCCACTGCAGGGTGGATATCAAGATAATCCCGCTCACCCAGCGCCCATTGAGTCCGATAATTGCTGCGCTAATTGAGAGACGCGTGGGGTGGAGGTCGCGGCAGCCGAGCTCGCCGCCGTTTGGGATGCAGGCCAAGGGGCTGGCACAGAATTTTCCCGCCGTCTCACCTTACACGAGCAGCTTAGAGGCTCAACGGGGAATCAGGCAGCCCATTGACATTTACATTGATGACCTATTTACTGCAGCAGCAACAACAACAAAAACAATAATGTTGTTTGATTTTTTTGCGTAGCTTTGCTTAACTTGGCTCGGCGAACTCAAAGCGTCACATTAACACGCGACGACAAAGGCCCCCCCCCCCCCCACCCCGTAGAGCATGAACAGACGGTTAGGTGCACGTGCTACGAGCGAGCTGACATGACGGCCGGCGCGGGGCATGATCCGGTGGCTGGACAAACACCACGCCCGGCCTTTGCATCCCGTAGTAGCGACGTCTGCGCATCGCGCCAAACACTCATTTGAGGCTGAGTCGACCGAGGGGAGGCCCAGGACCGGTTCACATAATCGTTTCCGGTGTGAGGCTATGAGCGGGAATCGAACTCTAGATCAGCATGATTACAGTCGTATTATTAGTATTATTATTCTTTGAAGCGCACCCCCAGTGGCAGCTGTCCCTGTGCGGCACAAGGTGACACGGAACCCCGGGCTTGCGAGTTGGGGGTGGGTGGGGGGGGGCGTTAGTGTGGAGGGGGCGGTGATAGCTGCGTGTGGGTCACCCCAACCCCCCTCTCAACTTGCGTTCGTGCGTGCGCCAACTCACCACGTGGCGCCGCTGCCCTCTTCAGCTGTGCTCCACCACGAAGCTCATGGTGGTGCCGTCGAATGACGGCGGCGCAACGATGACGCGGGGGCCTTGCGCCTGCGCGGCCGAGCAGAAGGAGACCGCTGTCGGCCCCTTGAGCAGCTCCAGTTCGCCTCCGGAGCCCGGGACTGCGAACACGCCCTGGTTCCCCGGGCCGAGCACCTTTCCCGACGGCAGGAAGTAGGGCCGATCCACTGCTGGACTAGACTCCTCCTTGCCGCTCTGGAAGAAGCATTTCCCCTGCGAGCTCTGAGGTTCCTCAACGAGGCCGCTCGATCCCTGGTGCTGAAAGTACTGCTGCTGCTGCTGATGATGATGATGCTGCAACTGCTGATACTGCAACTGCTGCTGCAACTGATGCTGGTACTCATAACCGGCGGGCATGGCCTGGATGCGCGTGGACAGGACACCGGGAAACATCACGAAGTGTGACCCCAAGGCGCCGGGCGTCGCCGCCGTGAAAAGGAACTGCGCGGGGGCCATGGCCACGGAGTAAACGCCACCCGCGGTGCCTCCCACTCCTCCGGCTCCCTCTGCCTGCGGGGTCACGGACACCTCCACGTACTGCTGCGTCTCCACGTCCAGAAGCGTCTTGCGCTGCGGCTGCGCGGGCGGTGGTGCGTCCACGAGGTAGCACTGACCCGACTCGGGGTCGACAAGCAGACGGCGGTGCGACGCCGTCGGCGGCGCGGGGCTCGCCGAGCCGGCGATGGCGCGCGGCAGCGGGAGCCGCCTCTCGTCACGCTCGGGGGCCGCCGAGAAGGCGAGCGCCGAGTGCGCGGGTTGCAGGATCAGGGGGGATGGAGGACACATTTGCTGAGCGGACGTCGTGTGGATTTTGGCGAAGTGGCCGCTGGCGGTGGCGCTGTTCAAGCCGTGGATGTTCTTGATGCTCGCGGCGCTCATTCTTCCGCTGCCGACCGCGGGACGCTTTCCTCTTTCGTCCGGATCCATCGCTCTGTGCGTGTGTCTGCGCTGCTGTTGATGCTGCTGCTGCTGCTGCTGCGATTTGCCGTCCACTTGCGCCGCGTGCTGCTGGCTGCTGGCCTCCCTGTGAGTCCTGGGTGCCACCGTGGGAGGCGGAGCGAGCAGAGCTTGCGGCTCCTTGCTTGAGACGCGGTCCCCACTCCCGTCTCGGGCGCTCGCCTTGACGGGGATGGTGAGGTAGTGGCCCACTTCAGCAGCCGCCTCGGCCGACCTCTCCCGCTCCTCCTCCTGCTGCTGCTGCTGCTGGGCGAACGCAGTGGCACCGGCTTCATCCGCACGTGCGGGACACGGGGGCCTCACGGACCGTATCACCATCCCCTGCTGCTGCTGCTGGTGCTGCTGCTGCTGCCGCTTGGAGTCGGCGGCCGCCACAGTCTGCGGCGTGCCAAAGATGTGCGGCAATTTGTGCGCGACCTTTTGAGCCGACCACGTGGAGGGGCCGAGAGCCACGTGGCGGGACGACGGAGGCGGCACGGATGCAGCGGCGAGCGGCGCCGCGCGCTGCTGCTGCTGCTGCTGCTGGTGCTGCTGCTGCTGGTGGTGCTGCTGGTGCTGCTGGTGCTGCTGCTGCTGCTGTTGCTGCTGCACTCGGACGATCCTCGCGGCCCCGTCCGCGTGCGCTTGTTTCTCCTTCTCGCCCTTTTCCATGCAGGCGATGAGCGACAGCACGTGACTCTCGGGCACCGGCGCCTCGGCCCCGTGACGCCGCCGCCACTCGTGGTTCTCGTACACGTAGAGGTCCTCCATGGAGCGCACCGCTGCCTCCAGCTTCTCCACGGCGAGCTGGCTCGACGGCTTGGCGTGCCCACCTCTGCCCGCCAGCTCGTCGGCCGCTCCCACCTTGATCCCGCAGCGCTGCTGCGCGCCCTTCTCCTCCGCGCTTCCTCGCCCCCAAGGGCCCTCCAGAGGGGCGCCGCCCACCGCCACCGTCGCCGTCGTCACGGCTCCGAACCTCGCGTCCGCGGCGCGCGCCTTCACGGCGTCCCCGTTGCTGTCACCGCGCTCCTGCCGCGTGATGGACTTGTAGTTGATGACGAGCGGCGCCACAGCTTTGGGACCGCGTGAAGACGACGACGAGGTGGTGACGTTGGTGGCCGCGATATCGCACCCTCGCGAATGGCCTCTGGCCTCCGCCGCGGCCGCCGCGGCCGCCGTCGTCCCCACGGAGCTGTGATCCGAGGTGGTGGACCTGGAGTCAGCGCGGTCCTCGCGAGGCCCCACGGGATAGGAGCTCTTGAGCAGCTTGCGGACGTCGCGCACGTGGTGGATGGGCGCCTGACCTTTCACCTTCTCCTCCAGCCTCGCCGGGGACGGCGCCACGTCCACGGGCTCGATCTTGAAAATCGCCGGGAGGGTGGAACTCGACGTGGGCTTGGCGGTGGACGCCGAGATGGAGGCGACGTGGCTCGTCGGGTGATGATCGTGATGACGGCGGTGATGGCCGTCGTCGATGCCACCGGCGGAGATGTTGGGCGTGAGGAGCTTGGCGATGCTGAACGGGTTCGCGCCGCTGTCCCCGCTGCGCTTGCGGATGCTGATCTTGATCTCCGGGGAGCGCGACACGGGGGCGCCGCCGCTCCGCGTCGCGTCGCCCACCTTGAGCAGGAGGTCGGCGTCTTGGCTCCTGAAGACGCCCGTGGTAGCGGCGTCTCGCGCGAGGCTCTGCGTCTTCTGCTTCGTCTTGTTCTCCCTCCCGTCTCCCTCCATCACCACCACCATGGCGGAGTTCAGCGCGTGGACAGGGGCCGAGACGGCGAGGTAGCACGAGCTGTCGTCGTCGGCGTCAGCGCCGTCGCCATCATCGTTCCGCACGTTGCGGACTCCTTCGGAGGTCGAGAGGCTGCTGCTGCTGTAGCCGCGCTTCGCCAGCTCCGTCTGCGGGAGCTTCATCATCATCTTCAGCATCATCATCTTCTTCTTCTTCTCGTCGTCGTCTTGGACAATTCTGGCCCCTCCGTGCGGGATGTCGAGTCGGGTCGTCTGCCGTCTGGAGTCGCGTCGCGCCGCGCCGCCCAGATCGGCGGCCGCCTCGTGCCGCCGCTCTTCCCACGACGTGAAGGCGCTGTTCTCGCTGTGCAGGAATATCTTCTGCGACACCGACTGCTGCGAGGTGCTCGAGCGCGGCGCCTCCCCGCCGGCGCTCGACTTGTTGGCGGACGCGGAGACGAGCCGCCTGTCGAAGCCGTCGCCACCTCGCACCACGTCGGGGTGGACGGACACGCGCGTCTGCCCCTGCCCGCGTCTCTCGGCGCTCCGGGCGGCTTCGTCCGTGCCCCGCGAGTCGCCGCACTCACTCGGCACGCTCGTGTCCACCACCTCCCCGCGCTCCATCTTCAACTCCTGCTCCAGCTGCATCTTCTTGGAGATGACGTTCTTGAGGATGTTTGACGCCTGTTTGGCGTGCCCGGACATTCCCTGGGCGGACAACTCGACTTGACCTTCGCTCTGCCGCCAGATGTGCTGCTGGTGCTGATGATACTGGTGCTGATGATGATAATTATGTTGCTGCTGCTGCTGCTGCTCATGGTGATGGTAGATCTGCCGATGTTGCTGCCGATGTGACAGCTGCTTCAAGTAGCAGGCCTGTCCGCTCTCCTCCACGTGCATGCCCGACATAAATGAAGTCACTTTGCGCTCAGTGTCAAACGTGATTGCTTGCTGCTGCTGCTGCTGATGTTGTTGTTGCTGCTGCTGCTGTTGTTGCTGCTGTTGTTGTTCATGATGTTGTTGTTGTTGCTGCTGCTGTTGCAGCTGCTGCTGCTGCTGCTTCTGCTGCTGGTGCTTGTGGTGGTGCTGCTGCAGCTGCTGCAGCAGCAGCGTCTCCAGCACCGCGTCCCTCTTGGGCGCGCAGCTCATTGCCGCTGCCCACTGGGTGAGTGTCACGCGCGATGCCGAGACTCTCGTTATATCCTCGCCGCCAGGCATCATGGAAATATCAACTCTCTCCGCTGCTCCCGTCTCCCCCTCCTCCTCGTCCTGCTGCACCGCGACACTCACAGCACCTCTAGCCGGGCCCTGACAGCCCGCAGCCCCCACCCCTGCCCCCACCTCCCCTTGCTCCCCCTTGGCGGTGGAACGTCGGACTTCGCGGCTCGTCCAACCCAGGTCCACGTACGTGGGCCAGCGGTTGAGTATCGACTCCTCGTCCTCGTCGTCGGCGTTGTCTTTACGATCGATGAGCTTACCCTCGTCTTTGCCGTGCTCGCTGCGCTCACTGCGGTGGTTGTTGTGATCGTGGTTGTGGTTGTTGTGGTTGTTGTGATCGTGGGGGTTGTTGTGGTTGTTGTGATCGTGGTTGTTGTTGATGTTCTCGTGGTGCTTGCTCGGCGCAGGCGTGATGTCCTTGAGGGAGCCGCTGTCTTCGAGCGCCTCGTAGGGGAACGAAAGACTTCGGAAGGACCTGGCCGTCAGGTCTCGCACCTCGTCGTCGGTGTCGTCCATCGCCCTCGTCGTGCGAGAGATAGACACAGACGGACAGCGAGAGAGAGCCAGATAGTGATAGAGAGCGAGAGCCAGATAGAGACAGAGAGCGAGAGCCAGATAGAGACAGAGATCGCGTTTGAGAGAGAGAGACAAATCGTGCCAGAGAGCCAGAGCCAGTCAGAGTCAGATAGATACAGAGAGAGAGCCAGAACCTGACACAGAGTGAGAGCGAGAGAGATAGCCAGATAGAGCCAGAGCGAGAGAGAGAGAGAGAGAGCCAGAGAGTGACAGAGAGCCAGAGAGAGAGAGACAGAGAGAGAGACAGAGAGAGAGAGACAGATAGAGACAGAGAGAGCCAGAGAGAGCCAGAGAGAGACAGAGAGAGAGACAGAGAGAGAGACAGAGAGAGAGACAGAGAGAGACAGAGAGAGACAGATAGACAGAGAGAGACAGAGAGTCAGAGAGAGACAGAGATACAGAGAGAGACAGAGAGAGACAGAGGGCCAGAGAGAGACAGAGAGAGACAGAGAGAGATAGAGAGAGACAGAGAGAGACAGAGAGAGACAGAGAGAGACAGAGAGAGACAGAAAGCCAGAGAGATACAGAGAGACAGAGAGAGACAGAGAGTCAGAGAGAAACAGAGAGACAGAGAGAGACAGAGAGAGACAGAGAGTCAGAGAGAGACAGATAGAGCCAGAGAGAGACAGAGAGAGACAGAGAGAGACAGAGAGAGTCAGAGAGACAGAGAGAGACAGAGAGAGACAGAGAGAGACAGAGAGACAGAGAAAGACAGAGAGCGACAGAGAGAGACAGAGAAACAGAAGGAGACAGAGAGAGACAGAGAGACAGAGAGTCAGAGAGAGACAGAGAGACAGAGAGAGACAGAGAGACAGAGAGAGACAGAGAGAGACAGAGAGAGACAGAGAGAGACAGAGAGAGACAGAGAGACAGAGATAGACAGAGAGAGACAGAGAGACACAGAGAGAGACAGAGAGAGACAGACAGAGAGACAGAGAGACAGAAAGAGACAGAGAGAGACAGAGAGACAGAGAAAGACAGAGAGAGACAGAGAGAGACAGAGAGAGAGACAGAGAGAGAGACAGAGAGAGACAGAGAGTCAGAGAGAGACAGAGAGAGACAGAGAGAGTCAGAGAGACAGAGAGAGACAGAGAGAGTCAGAGAGACAGAAAGAGACAGAGAAAGACAGAGAGAGACAGAGAAAGACAGAGAGAGACAGAGAGAGACAGAGAGAGACAGAGAGAGACAGAGAGAGAGACAGAGAGAGAGACAGAGAGAGACAGAGAGTCAGAGAGAGACAGAGAGAGACAGAGAGAGTCAGAGAGACAGAGAGAGACAGAGAGAGACAGAGAGAGACAGAGAGAGTCAGAGAGACAGAAAGAGACAGAGAAAGACAGAGAGAGACAGAGAGTCAGAGAGAGACAGAGAGAGACAGAGAGCCGTCCCCTGCGCAAATAACGCGGCCGTCAATCTCCCGGTGCCCCTTCTCCTTCTCTCTGTGTGCCAACACCCAACCACGCCACTCCACCCTCTTACCGCCTCCACCCCCTCCACCCCACTCACCCCCCCCTCCTCCACCCCCACTCTACCTCCACCCCACTCACCCCCCCTCCTCCACCCCACTCTACCTCCACCCCCTCTCACCCCCCCTCCTCCACCCCCACTCACCCCCCTTCCTCCACCCCCACTCACCCCCCTCCTCCACCCCCATTCTACCTCCACCCCCTCTCACCCCCCTTCCTCCACCCCCACTCTACCTCCACCCCACTCACCTCCCCCTCCTCCACCCCCTCTCACCTCCCCTCCTCCACCCCCACTCACCCCCCCTCCTCCACCCCACTCACCCCCCCTTCCTCCGCGCCGCGCGTCCCCCTTAAATGCTGTGCAGCTACCACCATCACCAGCACCACCAACACCACCAAAGCCACCACCATCACCACCAGCCCCTCCCAACGGCGCGACCCCGCAGCTGATGTTTGCGCGGACCGGGGTAGCGCTGCGGGAACGCTCAGCCGGGAATGCGCAGTGGGGGGTGGGTGGTGGGGGCAGTGGGGGGTGGGTGGGGGGGCAGTGGGGGGTGGGTGGGGAGGCAGTGGCGGGGGGGGGGTCATTGGCACAGAGCCCCCGACGCGGTACCTTATAAATACCCGCGTGTGCGAGTGAAATATGGTGACCGGCTCGCTGGCTCAGGGGGGTTCATATCACGACCGTGTCAAGGGACACTTGTACCGGCGCTGCTGAGATCCTGGATTCGAATCTGGGTGTCAGCCACTGTCTGGGTTCTCAGGTGCATTGAGTCGATGGTGTCCATATACTCACACAGAGACCCATATACTCACAGAGACCCATTGACTCACACAGACCCATAGACTCACAAAGAGACCCATAGACTCACACAGAGACCCATATACTCACAGAGACCAATAGCCTCACACAGAGACCCATATACTCACACACAGACCCATAGACTCACACAGAGACCCATATACTCACAGAGGCCCATAGACTCACACAGAGACCCATATACTCACACAAAGACCCATAGACTCACACAGAGACCCATATATTCACAGAGACCAATAGCCTCACACAGAGGCCCATATACTCACACAGAGACCCATAGACTCACACAGAGACTCATAGACTCACACAGAGATCCATAGACTCACACAGAGACCCATAGACTCACACAAAGACCCATAGACTCACACAGAGACCCATATACTCACACAGAGACCCATAGACTCACACAGAGACCCATAGACTCACACAGAGACCAATAGACTGACACAGAGACCCATTGACTCACACCATATACTCACACAGAGACCCATAGACTCACACAGAGACCCATAGACTCACACAGAGACTCATAGACTCACACAGAGACCCATAGACTCACACAGAGACCCATAGACTCACACAGAGACCCATAGACTCACACACCGCCGTGCGGATAAACCGTAGCGAGGTGGCACAGTAGGGAGCACACGTGGTGCATCTCCCAGTCATCTCAGTCAACCGTTCCGTGCCCTCTTGCCAGCGAACCTTCAAACACTGCACGTGACCTCAAAGTGCACCTAGTCTGGCACTGGCGCCGTGGTGACGTCACCGCCACTTAGTGGCGAATGGCGGTTGTATGTATGTATGTGCGCACGTGTCTGTGCGTGTCCGTGCGTGTGCGTGAGACAAGTGGTGATGAAACGTGACTCTGCCGCTATTTTCCAACACCGGGGTAAAACCCCGAGCCGACTTTAGAGACGCGGCAAGGCAGCTGCCTCTCTCCTCTCTCGCTCGCCGGCCCGCGTCCCGCCTCTCCCTCACCTACAGCTCACTTGCCTCTCACCTCCGGCTCGCGTCTACAGCTCACCTGTGTCTCGCCTGTCTCATCTGCGGCTCACCTGTCTCGCACCTGTGCCTCACCTGCAGCTCACCTCTCTGCTGTGCGCAGTGATGGAGAGCAGCGTGGTCATGGAATGGAATTGTTGGTGCTGGGAATTAAATGTCCCCTCCCCCCTCACCCGTTCGCTATGCCCCCCCCCCTCCCCCACCTCTCTCTAGCCTGGGGGCTCCTCTCGTCAACGCGCCCTAGCGCAGTTGCACCGCCTGCGCGTTCGGTAGCGACGCGGCGACCACGCGAGGCTCTGCTGGCTGACAGCAGCAGCAGCAGCAGCTGTTGCAAGCCTCACAAGTTCAGCCATCGCTCGTGTCAACTCCACAGCCACGGGGAGCAGAGAGGCACGGAGAGAGGTGGGGGTGAGAGGGCGAGGAGAGGCGACGGAGAGGGAGGGGAGGGAAAGTGTCTCGCGTGTCCCTCGAGTATATTTAGGCAAGGCGTGACCGCATACATCCAGCGATACGCAGATACCCAGAGAGCTACAGACACACGGGCATTCGGGGCATGGCCAAAGATACAGACGCATATACACACAGAGATTCACACGCAAACACACCCCCAAGAACACAACAGCCGCCACTGGTCACAGAGTGACGCCACCACAACTCTTGTGCCAGGCTAGGTACACACATCGTGCTAAATATAAACACACACAAGTGCACACGCGCACACACAGTGACACGGGAGAGCTTTCGGAAGAGCTGAGTTGATAATAAGCAGCGACGAAGCGGAGGGAAAGTTTTCAATGAGAGCACGTCGCGTGCCATGGAACGTGTCACCCCCCGCACGTGGGGTGCGACTCTGCGACCCAACGCGCGGGACGAGGTCTGGGGAGAGGCGCCCGAAGGGAGCCCAGCGGGGGGCCAGGGAGCCCAGCGTGGGGCCAGGGAGCCCAGGGTGGGGCCAGGGACCACGTGGGCCAGGGACCACGTGGGCCAGGGAGCCCGTGGGCCAGGGAGCCCAACGTGGGGTCAGGGAGCCCAGCGTGGGGTCAGGGAGCCCAGCGTGGGGCCAGGGAGCCCAGCGTGGAGCCAGGGAACACGTGGGCCAGGGAGCCCAGCGTGGGGTCAGGGAGCCCAGCGTGGGGCCAGGGAGCCCAGCGCGGGGCTGGTGTCGTGCCGCTGTCTCAACGCGGATTCTCGAGCGCGGTGAAGCCGCTTGTCTCGTGGGGCGTTACTAAACTCAGCTCTGAGAGTTGCAAAACAAAACTTTATTTTGAGTTTGACGCGACCGGACCCCGCCTCTACAGGCAGGGCACGTGGGGGAGGGGCTGCGGGGTGCGAAGCGGGTAACTGAGAGACCTCAGACGCCGTTCTGTGACGGTACCAAGTTCCTGAGAGCGTCCTCCCCACGCAAAGTGGTGGACTGCTTTCTGCCGATAGCTCCCCCATATCATCGACTTCTCTGAACGCACGGCAACTTTGACCCCGGCAGCACAGACGGGGTGCGTCTGTGTGCGTCGGTGTGTCTCTGTGGGTGCGTCTGTGTGCGTCGGTGTGTCTCTGTGGGTGCGTCTGTGTGCGTCGGTGTGTCTCTGTGGGTGCGTCTGTGTGCGTCGGTGTGTCTCTGTGGGTGCGTCTGTGTGCGTCGGTGTGTCTCTGTGGGTGCGTCTGTGTGCGTCGGTGTGTCTCTGTGGGTGCGTCTGTGTGCGTCGGTGTGTCTCTGTGGGTGCGTCTGTGTGCGTCCGTGTGTGTCTCTGTGGGTGCGTCTGTGTGCGTCGGTGTGTCTCTGTGGGTGCGTCT